GCACGGCCGCCTTCCCACACGGCGGAGGCGCCGCGGGCCCGCTCGGAGCCCGCCCGAGGGAACCCGCCCGAGGGGAGCCCGCCTGAGGGGAGCCCGCCTGAGGGGAGCCCGTGCCGGGCCGCCCGAGGGGAGCCCGCCCGAGGGGAGCCCGTGCCGGGCCGCTCGGAGCCCGCCCGAGGGAGCCCGCCCGAGGGGAGCCCGTGCCGGGCCGCTCGGAGCCCGGCCGCGGGGAGCCCGCCTGAGGGGAGCCCGCCCGAGGGGAGCCCGTGCCAGCCCGCCCGAGGGGAGCCCGTGCCGGGCCGCTCGGAGCCCGCCCGAGGGGAGCCCGTGCCAGCCCGCCTGAGGGGAGCCCGTGCCGGGCCGCCCGAGGGGAGCCCGCCCGAGGGGAGCCCGTGCCGGGCCGCTCGGAGCCCGCCTGAGGGGAGCCCGCCCGAGGGGAGCCCGTGCCAGCCCGCCCGAGGGGAGCCCGCCCGAGGGGAGCCCGTTCCGGGCGCGCGGGCCGGGCGGCACCGGCGCCCCCCGCGAGGGACGCGCGCGCCCGCCCCGGGCCCGCCGGCCATGGAGCCGCCGCCGGCCGCCGCTCGCCAGGTACCGGGCGGACACGGGGGGCAGGCGAGGTGTGGGACTGTGCGCGGGTCAGCGGGCCCGCCGGCGCTCGCCGGACTTCCCTCTGCGCTCTGCGGCTCGTGGGGCGGGCATGGGTGTCAGGGGCACCGCGGCCGGTGGCAGCGGCTCAGGACGACCGGCCGCTGGAACGTCCCCGCAACGCGGTGCAGCGGCCGGCAGCGATGGCCCTCTCATCTCTGTTCAGTTGCCCCCGAGTTCGTAGGAGGAAGAAAGTCCTAGGTGCCACGCAGGGGGGGAAATGCGGACTCGGGACCTCAGCTTGTGAGGCCGGGGAAGGACAAGGACGGCTGCTCGGCGCGGCTGAAGTTCGGTGTCGCTGAGCGCCCCGTCTCCTGCCGTGCCCCATCGTCTCCTCTCGTGCCCCATCGTCTCCTCTCGTGCCCCATCGTCTCC